ACGATGGGAAGTGGTGAGGAAGGGCGGTGGCGACGATGGGAAGTGATGAGGAAGGGAAGTGGTGACGATGGGAAGTGATGAGGAAGGGAAGTGGTGACGATGGGAAGTGGTGAGGAATGGCAGTGGTGACGATGGGAAGTGATAAGGAAGTGATGAGGAAGGGACGTGTGTAATTCTATGCGTTTCTTGAATCTCTGGTTGCGGATCGCATTGGAATGGCTGCATGAATGTTGCATGGGCTATCTTGTGGGGAGGAAGCCGGAGCACGAAACCTTGTGTTTTTCCGTGTAAAGTGCCTGCAGGCGGCGATGAAAGGTACCTCGTGTGTGCGACGGTTGCGGTTTGGATCGTTTCGAGGTCAATCGGTTCCTCCTCTGTGTTCTGCAATGAGTGGTTGTGTCTGTGTGCGTAGTTCTATGCGTTTCTTGCATCTGTGCTTACAAATCGCATTGTAATGGCTGCATCAATGTTGCATGGGCTTTGTTGTGGGGAGGAAGCCGGAGCACGAAACCTTGTGTTTTTCCGTGTAAAGTGGCTGCAGCCGGCGATGAAAGGTACCTCGTCTGTGCGACGGGTGCGGCTGGGGTCGTTTTGTGCGCGAATCGTTCCTCCTATGTGTTTTGCAAGAAATGGTTGTTCCTGTGTGTGTAGTTCCATGCGTTTCTTGAAGCTGTGGTTGCAGATCGCATTGGAATGGCTGCATGAATGTTACATGGGCTAGGTTGTGGGGAGGAAGCCGGAGCACGAAACCTTGCGTTTTTCCGTGTAAAGTGGCAGCAGCCGGCGATGAAAGGTACCTCGTCTGTGCGACGGGTGCGGCTGGGGTCGTTTTGTGCGCGAATCGTTCCTCCTATGTGTTTTGCAAGAAATGGTTGTTCCTGTGTACGTAAGTCTATGCGTTTCTTGAAGCTGTGGTTGCAGATCGCATTGGAATGGTTGCGTGAATCTTACATGGGCTATGTTGTGGGGAGGAAGCCGGAGCACGAAACCTTGTGTTTTTCCGTGTAAAGTGGCTGCAGCCGGCGATGAAAGGTACCTCGTCTGTGCGACGGGTGCGGCCGGGGTCGTTTTGTGCACGAATCGTTCCTCCTATGTGTTTTGCAAGAAATGGTTTTTTTGTTCCTGTGTGCGTACTTTCAGATCGCAATGGAGTGGCTGCATGAATGTTGCCTGGGCTATGTTGTGGGGAGGAAGCCGGAGCACGAAACCTTGTGTTTTTCCATGTAAAGTGGCTGCAGCCGGCGATGAAAGGTACCTCGTCTGTGCAACGGGTGCGGCTGGGGTCGTTTTGTGCACGAATCGTTCCTCCTATGTGTTTTGCAAGAAATGGTTGTTCCTGTGTACGTCATTCTATGCATTTCTTGAAGCTGTGGTTGCAGATCGCATTGGAATGGCTGCATGAATGTTGCATGAATGTTACATGGGCTATGTTGTGGGGAGGAAGCCGGAGCACGAAACCTTGTGTTTTTCCGTGTAAAGTGGCTGCAGCCGGCGATGAAAGGTACCTCGTCTGTGCGACGGGTGCGGCTGGGGTCGTTTGTGCACGAATCGTTCCTCCTATGTGTTTTGCAAGAAATGGTTGTTCCTGTGTGCGTAGTTCTATGCGTTTCTTGAAGCGCTGGTTGCAGATCGCATTGGAATGGGTGCATGAATGTTACATGGGCTATGTTGTGGGGAGGAAGCCGGAGCACGAAACCTTGCGTTTTTCCGTGTAAAGTGGCTGCAGCCGGCGATGAAAGGTACCTCGTCTGTGCGACGGGTGCGGCTGGGCGAATCGTTCCTCCTATGTGTTTTGCAAGAAATGGTTGTTCCTGTGTACGTCATTCTATGCGTTTCTTGAAGCTGTGGTTGCAGATCGCATTGGAATGGTTGCGTGAATCTTACATGGGCTATGTTGTGGGGAGGAAGCCGGAGCACGAAACCTTGTGTTTTTCCGTGTAAAGTGGCTGCAGCCGGCGATGAAAGGTACCTCGTCTGTGCGGCGGTTGCGGCTGCGGTCGTTTCTGTCGCGAATTGTTCCTCCTATGTGTTTTGCAACGAGTGGTTGTTCCTGTGTGCGTAGTTCTATGCGTTTCTTGAAGCTGTGGTTGCAGATCGCATTGGAATGGCTGCATGAATGTTGCATGGGCTATGGTTGTGGGGAGGAAGCCGGAGCACGAAACCTTGTGTTTTTCCGTGTAAAGTGGCTGCAGCCGGCGATGAAAGGTACCTCGTCTGTGCGACGGGTGCGGCTGGGGTCGTTTTGTGCGCGAATCGTTCCTCCTATGTGTTTTGCAAGAAATGGTTGTTCCTGTGTGCGTAGTTCTATGCGTTTCTTGAAGCGCTGGTTGCAGATCGCATTGGAATGGCTGCATGATGTTACATGGGGTTGTGGGTTGTGGGGAGGAAGCCGGAGCACGAAACCTTGTGTTTTTCCGTGTAAAGTGGCTGCAGCCGGCGATGAAAGGTACCTCGTCTGTGCGACGGGTGCGGCTGGGGTCGTTTTGTGCGCGAATCGTTCCTCCTATGTGTTTTGCAAGAAATGGTTGTTCCTGTGTACGTAATTCTATGCGTTTCTTGAAGCCGTGGTTGCAGATCGCATTGGAATTGGCTGCATGAATGTTACATGGGCTAGGTTGTGGGGAGGAAGCCGGAGCACGAAACCTTGCGTTTTTCCGTGTAAAGTGGCTGCAGCCGGCGATGAAAGGTACCTCGTCTGTGCGACGGGTGCGGCTGGGGTCGTTTTGTGCGCGAATCGTTCCTCCTATGTGTTTTGCAAGAAATGGTTGTTCCTGTGTGCGTAGTTCTATGCGTTTCTTGAAGCTGTGGTTGCAGATCGCATTGGAATGGCTGCATGAATGTTACATGGGCTAGGTTGTGGGGAGGAAGCCGGAGCACGAAACCTTGCGTTTTTCCGTGTAAAGTGGCTGCAGCCGGCGATGAAAGGTACCTCGTCTGTGCGACGGGTGCGGCTGGGGTCGTTTTGTGCGCGAATCGTTCCTCCTATGTGTTTTGCAAGAAATGGTTGTTCCTGTGTGCGTAGTTCTATTCGTTTCTTGAAGCGCTGGTTGCAGATCGGATTGGAATGGTTGCGTCAAGGTTACTTGGTGCAGCGGCTGCATGCGTAATACTATTGTCTTTTGCAGCTGAAGAGCGTAAATCGTATTGGAATGCATGCATCAAGGTTGCGATAGTGATTTGTCAGCAGATTTTCTCCATTTTGGCGTTCGTGATTTTCCTTTTAAAAATTATTTTTTAAAAGTGCTTCAAAATCGTCTTTTTTTCGCTTTGGCGTCGAGATCCGGCGGTTTTGGAGCTGCAGTTTCCGACGCCGTTGCGTGTAATTCTATTGTGTTTTGCAACTCAGTCTCTGCAGATCGCATTGTAATGGCTGCGTCAAGGTTGCTGCGTGCTGTGGCTGCATGCGTAATACTATTGTCTTTTGCAGCTGGATCTCGTAAATTGTATTGGAGTGGCTGCATGAAGGCTGCGAAATCGATTTGTCAGCAGATTTTCTCCATTTTGGCGCTCGTGATTTTCCTTTTAAAAATCCTTTTAAAAAGTGCTGCAAAATCGTCTTTTTTTCGCTTTGGCGTCGAGATCCGGTTTTGGAGCTGCAGTTTCCGACGCCGTTGCGCGTAGTTCTATTGTGTTTTGCAACTCAGTCTCTGCAGATCGCATTGTAATGGCTGCGTCAAGGTTCCTTCGTGCTGCGGCTGCATGCGTAATACTATTGTCTTTTGCAGCTTGATCTCGTAAATCGTTTCGGAGTGGCTGCATCAAGGCTGCGACAGTGATTAGTAGTAGTACTGGGAAGTGATTCCTGAAAGCTTAGACGACATATGAGAAGAGATGAGATGAGAAGAGATCAGCTGGGATAAGGTGAGAAGAGCTCAGCTGAGATGAAGTGTGGAGTGTGAAGAGTGCAGTGTGAAGTGTGGATTGTGAAGAGTGCAGTGTGAAGTGTGAAGTTTGGAGTGTGAAGGAAGCAGTGAGAAGTGTGAAGTGTGGACTGTGAAGTGTGAAGTGTGGAGTGTGAAGTGTGAAGTTTGGAGTGCGAAGAGTGCAGTGTGAAGTGTGGAGTGTGAAGTGTGGAGTGTGAAGTGTGAAGTGTGGAGTCTTCAGAGTACAGTGAAGTGAAGTGTTGACTGCGAAGGGTGCAGTGTGAAGAGTGCAGTGTGAAGTGTGGAGTGCGAAGTGTGTAGTGTGAAGACTGCACTGAGAAGTGCGAAGTGCGAAGTGGAGCTTCAAAAGTGACATGTGAAACAAGACACCAGTTTCGCAGAGTGCACGCACGCACCGGCTTGGCTGGCGCACGGCGCATGCAAGTTCTATAGATGAGAAAGGTCTCATATATATCTTTAAGGCAACTTCCGCCCCGCCTCGTGCGGGTACTACTGGTAGGATGTAATGCCGTAGCTATAACTAACAACAAACAACTAACAACTTACTAAGATGCCACTTGATCATGTAACTCATGATTAATGATTATTAATGTCTTTACATGGCCACAGTTCTCCAAAACATTGCCAAAATGTCTCGAAAATTATGATAGTATCCCACCACACACTTGTGAATCCGTGCTCGTGTAAAGCACCCAGTGGCTTTGCAGACTTAAACACGTCATGTTTTTCAACCAGCCACAGCAGTTCCTGGAACCCAAGCAGGAACTACGACTTTGATGTATCATATGGCTGGGAAGTCGATTCATAGTTCCTTGGCTCCCAATTAAAAAATAGGAATATGGACTATGGATGCCCACATAGCTCCAACTCGCTCCATCCTAACCTACTCCAGGCCATGGCTACCTCCTCCTGGCCATCGCCAGCCGCCAGCCTCCGCATACATTCGCTGACCCGTCCATGGCGCCTGCCGGGGCAGCCGCTTGTAGATTTCACCAGCATTGATGTCCCGTGAAAAACCTGAAGTTCCATATGACTACTGGAGGCAGCACCACCACTATGACTCCTATGGCTATGAGCCTTCAAAGTGCAAGGTGCAGCTCCCTTCTTTTCCAGTCGCTAGTGCGGGAAACTCAGCAGTTTGTCTCCTATGACTCTCATCATATCCTTCCGCACTGCCACCAAGACCACCCCGTCGTTCCGAAGCAATGCCATTCCAGTCCTGACCAAACGACTAAACCAAACACGATCCAACTTGGGATATCCAGCTGCCACCTGAGCCTACATCCATATCTTCAGAAACCCTAGGGATTAGGGATGCAGAGAACAGGGGAGCATGGCGGAAATCGCCAAAGGGTTGCAATCACTGATGATCTAGCCAGTTCTGATGATTTGTTATCCCAAAACATTTTTTGGGGTTGCTAGTGACCCCTCCCGAGTCCAGAGCCCCAAAAAGTCGCCTTGAATACAGATTTTCTCGTTCTCGCCACTCCCATCTTCGAGTTTCAGCTTTCAAATGGGTTTCCCCCTCACCAAGGGTTCAAGCCGCTCAACCAATAGTCAAACAAGCTTCACAAATGCCCACAAATTTCACTAAATGCAGCAACCATCAGCAACCTATCTACCCTCTGGTAAACTAACGTAACTATGGAAAATCACCATTGCCATTTCTAATGGGAAAACGGAAAACTCACTATAAATGGCCATTTTTAATAGCTATGTTAGTCATTACCAGAGGGTATATATTAAAATCCCAAACGATCTTCTACCTCCACCCCAATGGCCACCACCACCAGGTCAGGGCGCCTCTCGTTGTTCACCTGCGCCTGGATCCGTTGCCTGGGCGCTTCGGTGAACTGCAGAATCAGCGTGCGCTCCTCCAAACCGCCCAGCTCGCCATCGATGGCCTGGCAGAGCTAAGCTGGAAGTTTTCACCCCAAAAGTGGCGGGTTGTTTTTTTTGCTGGGAGAACCATGGGAAAATATATAGCGAAATATCGGAAAATGGATGGGAAACATATAGGAAAATTGATGGGAAAATTGATGGAAAAATTGATGGGAAAATATAGGGAAATGGATGGGACATCCACTCTTTTCCGGAGGTTTGAATGGAAAAATGAACGAACTAAATGGGGAATTGTCCGGCAAGCCATGTTTGACTGAGGGTATGCGTGTAAACAATATGGCACGTACATGGAATTCGTTGATGTGTAGGAAAAAATCTGTCAGAAGAGGCCTACCTGACCTACACTGCATATACAAATACATATATATGTATATATATCTGTGTGTGTGGCCTTTGTTCTAAATTCATTTATTTTCTCGCGAGTCAAAAAAATACTTTCGCGAATCTTTGGCGAACCCCACGTTTATCTTTCGCAGGGGTCTCATGTTTAAATGTTTCGCTAAATCTTTCGCCAAAAAATAATGTACTTCCGCGAACTCAGAAAAAAACTTTGGCGGTATCTCATGTTGAAACCCGGCGGCCTTGGCAATTAAAAACCCTTACATGGACCTTTAGAACAACTTCCATATATACTGCAAGACATATGCATATACCTACATCCTCCACCTATGTAAAATTTTGTCCGTTTCGGTTTCGTCAATCTGATAAATTTTCACTCGATTGCTGAAAAACTCCGTTTACAAAAAAACGCCGCTTCAGTGTTTTCTATACTATGCCAGCCTCAACCCCCACATCGTCTAATCCAGGTTGACCAAAACGTTATCCTTGATTTCCAACAAGTTGCATATATAAAGAGTGTGAAGCGTTATTGCTGCGCTCAAATGGGGTTCAAAGCGATCCTGCTTTCAGCATGCAACATTCCAAACGCTCACAGAAACCATTCTTGGCATCCGATTGTTTGGACAGCCTGCTCAGTGTGCACCCACGACATTATGCATAATTACAGTGATTGTCATTGACATTGTATGGACCCTTGACATAACTCACTTGAATGAATTTCCTTGTTTCGATTTACGCCGTTTAGCGGCAATTTACGCCGTTTGGGCGGCAATTTACGCCCTTTCGTTCCGAACCCGACAGGGAGCACCTGAATCACACTTTCGTTCCAAGTATTTCTCATTATGCTCTCAAACATGTTGTTGCTTTGGACATTTTACTAACCTTGCTTCAAAGGTACATGTTCTGTTGATTTCGTGTGAAATGTTTGTTTGGAGAGCTAAAGGCAAAGTACACAATTACAAGAAGTGAGTGACGCATGCTGAGCTGCTAGAGCAATTGAAATGTCATGTTCTGGATCCTCTTCAATGCGGTAAAGAAATAAGGTTATTTGATGCCTCCACGCGGCCAAGAAGTTTCCAGAAACATTTATGAAACACACATTTTGGAAAAAAACGTCGCATGCAACAAAAAACACCGCCAGCACATAAAAAAGTAGGTTTTTGGCTAAACTGATTTGTTTTAAGACCTGGGAAGATGCAGGTATAACATATCTGCGCGTGTGTATTAGATACCATGTGCCGAAATATAAGCGCACAGCGGAGACGACAGACCATCCCGGTTAACAAAAAGTGGTCCATGCACCACGTGCCGGAAGGTTGACCGGGAACGCTGCAAAAGTAATGGCGCTACATTCAATGCTGATGGAATTTGACTCACAACCATATTAACATATATATATAATTATATATATAAAGAGTGGGCACACAACACCCTTTTTTCACCCACTCCGTAGCCTGATTGTTAAATAAAAATAAAAAGATCGACTCGTCTCAAAATGTCTCAAAAGAGACTTTCTCTTCTTTGTGTAGGTCCAGCCAAACCCGCGACCTCACTTTCAAAAAAACGAAAATAACAATACCCCAGTGGAGTTGGGCCAACCCCTCCTGTCCACCAGTCAGCATTGCCTGATTCCATCCAGTCTTGGTTTCATTCATTGACCATTCTTCCGGTGTCAGCGGCAGGGGCGGTAGCCCTTAAATAAAGAAAACATGTTTTCCGTCCTTTCCGCTCCTTCGGCCTCTTCATGGGCCAGACAGGGAGGGAGGCAGTGGGAGCTGAAGCCGAAATACTTAAAAAGGGATGAAAATGGGTTATGTGTTTACTCTTTAATCCCGTGGTCGTGAAATCAAAGAGTGGGCACACAACACCCTTTTTTCACCCACTCCGTAGCCTGATTGTTAAATAAAAATAAAAAGATCGACTCGTCTCAAAATGTCTCAAAAGAGACTTTCTCTTCTTTGTGTAGGTCCAGCCAAACCCGCGACCTCACTTTCAAAAAAAACGAAAATAACAATACCCCAGTGGAGTTGGGCCAACCCCTCCTGTCCACCAGTCAGCATTGCCTGATTCCATCCAGTCTTGGTTTCATTCATTGACCATTCTTCCGGTGTCAGCGGCAGGGGCGGTAGCCCTTAAATAAAGAAAACATGTTTTCCGTCCTTTCCGCTCCTTCGGCCTCTTCATGGGCCTTTTTCCACGTCCCCCTGCTCTTTCGGGCTTCTTGCTCGAAGGCTCAAGTATTTCAAAGCAGGGATTGGCACGAAATTGAGAAAAAATCTTCAAAAACGGGGCAAGAGAGGGAAGGGTGGCGGGTAGTTGCAACTCAGCTAACACAGAGAGTCCTTCATTCAAATAGATCCTAGCTGTACGCGGGGCTTGCCAGCGCCCATCCAGCAAAATTTTGTCTAAAGAATGATGGCGTCCAAACCACCAGGTTGCACCACCGCGTCTGAGACTATAAGGTCGAAATTGAAAGGAGGTAAGGTTAAGACTATCCAGAGCCTTGTTGAACAAAGACCTCCACTGACCTGGACTAGATGCAAATCCCTTAGAAGGAGAGATCAAAGTTTTCCATTGCCGCAGAAACTGAACAACCATGTCATATCCCACGACACAAGACTCGGCAGCTCCTTGACGTTTACCAGCCTTTGTGAGGCCCAAAGAAACCACAACCTTGGCACTCTTCCTGTCACATAACAAGTGATGCCCACGGAGGCCCAATAGCTCTCCGGTACGCAGCATGGCATAAAACCCCAACAGAAGGGATACACCAAAGCTGAAGTGCTGATGGAAAAATGACCATCCTACCATTGCATGTAGAACATGTGCTGGTAAGGGAGGGGCCCTGTTGGGTACCTCATTAACATGCCAGGTCTTTAGAAGCCTCCAAGCACCTGGCAGGCAACCTTTGAGTTTGGGGTCATGGTCTTGGAGCCCAGCTAGAGTGTCACTGGCCTTGGCGCGACCTGAGCCGCTAGCCCACAGGTGCTCCAGATAGTCACAGAGCAATCCGTCCATACGGTTGCGTTGTTTAGGAAGTTCGAGATGGTTGCTTGCGAGAAAAGAAAGGAAATCATCAATGGCTTTACTGTATCTGGCGCGTGTAGCAGGTTGAACTGTAAGGTCTTTTAATGTTCCCAAGCGTTGTCGCTGTCTGGCTCTCTCTGACTGTGTAGTCGCCTCAAGGATCCTTTTAGGCATTCCTAAACTTAGTGCGGATCTTTTTTCCCCACCGACTTGGTTTGTCGGCAGGGTTTTGATCCGTGTGCACATAGCCCCAGAGGGCTTGGGAGGAACTACACAGTAAGAGAGCGTTAATGCGAGCCAAGGTCGGGCGCAGCTTCCGGCTGCTGGATCTCCCCCGGGCCAGGGAATGTAGGACCACAAGTGAGTCCACCAAATGGAGAAATCGGTGACCCACTTGACCACGATGTTGAATGCGCCATTTCAGGGTAGTCAGGACCGCCCTTAATTCCAAAGCATTGATATGTTCTTTGTTTCCTTTCCATTTCCATCCCGTGACGATCCGCCAGCGCCACAACCGGGATGGGACGGACGCGCGCAACCGATGGAATTTGCATAATTGGCTTGAAGGAGTGGTCAACAAGATGTCCTCTCCCTTGATACTGATGAGATTGGCCAGCTTGGGCACTAATCCATTGTCGGTTGTGGGTTGCAGTGGAGGAACCGGCCGAAGTGGTTTCCTCCAGAGACGGGATTGAAGAAAGACCTGTCCACTAGGAGTCAAAAGGTCCATCAATTCTTGGGGTGTATACAGCTTGCACAGACCCAGTCTCCCGAAAAGCTGGGAGAGGAACCACGCCACAACTGGTACTGACCAGGAGTTACCAATGAGGCTATGGCGAATATCCAGATGGTCCTGTGTGTTGCGGTCCTTCTTGCTAACCGACCCTATGGTATAACCAATGGGAAATCCCATCAAGAACTCCTTTTCCTCGATGCTAGGCAGACGCAATTCATTGGATTTGCTGACCAACAGGTTGTTGTTAGTGTACTGGTACGGGGGGAAGCGGTAGGAGTCATCAGCCCAGCGCTGAACTTCCTCATTGGTGCAGTGCTTGATACCAGCTGGCTTCCGCCCTGGCTGTTTGCGGGGCCTTGCGGTAGTAAAGGTGGGAAAAGGTCGACTTGGGTCAACCTTGATCCACCCCTTTTGGCAGACCAGCTCGAGATCTTGCTCCGCAGTCAAAATAACTTCCCGAGGGTCCCCCTGGAACTGGAGAGATACCCCCTCCATGGGTGTGAGCTCCCAGGTAACCCAGTATAACCTTGGTCTGCTACACCAAGTCATCTGTCCTGCGTCACACTTCCAGGCCGCATCGCCGAAATCCTGAGACATGATTTTGCGGTCGCTGGTGTCCATGGAGGCCACACTCTCCATGAGCGTGTGCACTTGGCACCAAGGAAAATGCTGCTGCACTAGCGTCCTGATGCGCGGCACGTGCGTGAACAGTCTAGAGCGCTCGTCCTTCAGTGCCCCCTTGCGATCGTGGTTCAGCCCACTAACACCTTGACACGGCGGCCCTGCACCGAGCAGGACTACCGACGCCTGAGAGTAGGTTCGTGCCCACTCCCGAACCACACTATCATCCACCTCTTGCACTGTGTTGAGCTGACAGACTTCTGGGAAATGGGACTCGGCCACTCTTGCGGCATGTTTATCAACTTCCACGCTGACATGTCCCAAGATCTGCAGGCCCAGCAAATCTGCAGCGACTCGCAGGGCTCCAATGCCGTCGAAGAGTCCGATGGTGAGTACCCGGTGTTCCTGTCTTAACTCAGGGAGCTCACCTCTGAGACTCCCGCGCGCTACAAGCTGACCCCACGGAGAGCACCCATGCGAGGCACAGATTCCCCCTCCGGTGGTCGAAGCATCGCTGCATGTAACCTGCTCATGGAAGGGGACCCGGAAGTCCAATCGCGCCAGCGGCAATAGGCCCAGCACCTTGAGCACCTCTGCTTTGCAATGCGGAGGGAACCACTTGGCTCCCTCCGTGTCAAAACCGTCAATGAAATTCCAGATGGAGTTGAGACATCCCAAGATCGGCCGCCGGAACATGGAGAAATACACCAGTCCTCCACAGACCACCTGAAGCTGCTTCTGTGTCACATAGTTTGCCTCCACTATGGACAGCGCGGCGCCCAGATACTTGAGCAACTTTGACTCACGGGGATATGCGATCCCGCGCTCTCCGTCTACCTGAGCACCTTGGACTTCTGCACGTAGCTGTCTGCTGACACTCTTCTTCATGTTGCGGGGAACCTCCCAGCGTTCATACTCCTGTCGGAGCGCTAGGATGGATGGGGCAAGCGTCCCTTCCATGCCGCCCAGGCCTGTTGCTTTGACTTTCTCCAAGAGATCATAGTTGTCCAAATAAATCCTCCAGGACGGGTTCCCTACTGTAAGCGGCCTGTCCTTTCTGATCTCTTTCTCAGGAGGGTTCAATTCCTCCTGTGGTTCCGCATCTTCCCCACTCCACAACGTGAGATTACGATGCACATGCTGCGCCAATGCAACGCTGTTCAAAAAACCCATTGGGAGGACCTTTGCTGCAAGGTAGACCTCCCGGTCTCTCAAGTGTTCTGGCAAACACTCTCGAGGGACACGTTTGTTGAACGCCATATACTTGTACCATGTGCATGGTACGCTCATGGTGTAAAAGAAACACCTCACGTCCTCACTACTAATGAGAAGGTTTTCCCCTGGTTGTAAAAAATAGGGGTTCATCAGAGACCACATAGGCAGAGTCTCGACATCTCCGCGAAGTGGGTGGGCCAAATTGTTCAAGGGTATCAAATTCATGATTAGGCGGTACACCTCCGTGTCACCCACCCATTCTTCTTTAGATACCCCGAATAACCCATTCAACAGCGGGCCTTGGCCAGTGTCAAAAACTTCTTCTAAAGGTAACAGAGTGCAAACACCTGTCTGCAGAAGACCGCGGCACACATCGGGCCAGTCGGCATCTGACACCATCACCCTTGGGGCCTTCTTCAAAACCCACATACTCTGATCTTTGATATAGGCATCGAAATTAAGCACATAATGGCGTGCCCCCAAAGTGCACACCTCTTCAAGGGGAACCCTCCCCACTTCCGCAGGTAGGGCGTGTCTGATGTTATTCCAACAAAAAGAACGTGCCGTTTTTACTTCATCACCCTTGTAATCAATCCCTCTTGTCGCGAAAAAGTCACCCCATGAAAACTCATCCAAAATCCCAGGCAGTGCAGAAAAACGCGAAACATCAGTGGAGAGGATCTTTAGACACTGCTTGGAAACGTCCCCCACAGGGCCATCAAAAAGAAGTGCGTCACCCCATAGCGAGTTAAGTGAACAACAAAGTGCCATCATCCAAAAAACTGCAGGCTCATCCAGGTCAGGCAGAAGAGATTCCAAATAGCTCTTAGAAGTGGGTAGGGGGAAAAGATCGGACAACTTCCTCCCACCCTTGGGCGAGCTACGGAGTGGAGAAACTTCAAAGAGACTTTCGAAAACTCTCCACCCAAGATCCTGAACCCTGAGCCCCACTGAATCGGCCTGAAAATCTTTTTTGCGCGGAAAGAACTCTGCCACCTGATCGATGGCTGGTTGGCGGCCATCAAGGACTTCGCCCTGTGACACGTAAGAGCCCGGAACTGTGCCGGTCTCCACTCCTCCCGAAAGCTGACTGGGAGGCAAATTCGGAAAAGGACAAGGGCTCTTCTGGCTGGGCTCTAAAGGCCCTACCTCCCTTGTAGTTGAGTGGCTCAGGCAATTCAAACTAGCCTGGTCACTGGTCTGAAAAAATCCGCTCTCCACAGGGAGGGGCACGGTCGCTGCCTCTCCCGCGGAGAAAGTATTGCATTGCATTGTTTAATTCTCCACCATCTCCTTGAGCTCATCAATGATCAGCCCTTCTTCTCTCCTCCTTTCCCTTTCTTCTCTCGGTGATCCTCCCTCTTGTCGTCCCTTCTCCATGAATCCTTCTGATCTGCTTTGGGGCCTTTCCCCTTGGACTTGCCCTCTCCTTTCGGGGTACTTGAAGACTGGGTCCTCCACCTCGCCTTCGCGTCTGCATAATCCTCTCGTTGGGCTTGTTGTAGCTCTGACCTCGCAACCAACGAGGTGGAGTCGGCTGCCGGCACCTCGAGGCGCTGTGCAATTCCCCAAGCCGTGCCATTGCAAACCGCCTCTTGGGCCTTTAGCCTTTGCGACAAGATATCCGTCGCAGCGGCCACTTTGCCTTTGAGAAGGCAGTCCAGCGCTGACGCGATGTTGAGTAACTCCCTGTACTGCGCTCCGCTCGAGCGACGGGCGAGCACAGTGCGGAAGTACAGGAGTGCAGTCGGACGGACCGCACGATCCTCCAGCTCCTCGCCCGAGGTTGTCAGGAGGGATTTCCGCATCGTGCTGACAAGTTCCAAGGTGAGGACCCCCGGGAACCTCTCTGCCACCGCTCGGATCTTGGTCTCCTCGGCGAACAGCGTCTCCAGTCCCTGAGGGTCCTCCACTGTAGGGGTCGAACTGGATGAACTCGAGCTCGAACTCTTGTTGTCGTCCTTTGTCTTTTTGCTGGCCATGAACTTCTGCGCCTTTGCAAGGATCCGACGCCGCACCTTTTCTTTCGGGTCCAAGCCCGTACCTCCGTAGAGTCCCGTCAGATCTTTCTGAACTGCCAAAGCGGGGTACCTCCCCTCTGCTGTCCCTTTCTCCTTCTTTTTCACTTTTTTCTTTTTCTTCTTTGTGTCCTTGTCCGGACTCCGATCCTTCTGCTCCGCGTTGATCTCCCCTCCCAGGGGCGCTGGACTGTGAGGAACCCCACTCCCGACACCTCCTGGTTCGCGAAGGAGGTGGGCCCTCCTCCGAAGGGCCGCCAGCTCGTCTTCTTCCCGAACTTCGGCTTCGCCTCCAGTCAAGTTCCTGGTCCATGGCTCGTCTCCCTCTTCCTTCAAGAGACGGCCTCGCAGGCAATGGACGAAGTGTTCGCCCGCCTCTTGGAGGCTGCAGCCCACCGGACAAACATGCCCCTTGAGCAGCTGCCCGGGATTGGCTGTGGTGACTTTCAGCAAGTCTTCGCTGTCTGTCCCCTGTGCTTTGAGGTGGATCCAAAGCTCTCCTTGCTCCACCTCTAAGCGAACGACTTTGGCTGCCAATTTCACCTTCGCTCCAAAGTAGTTGCCCTCCGTGACAACCAAAGAGCAACCTGGTCCCAAAACTAGAGGGTCCAAGGTGGACAGGGCCACCTCGAGGCCCTGGTCCCAGGGAGAGATCTCGTCCCTCCCGGCTGGCCTCCTCAGCCTCCTCCTGGGTGCAGCGGCTGCCGGCCGCCGGAGAACCCCTGCTCTGGTCTTGGCTTTCGCCTTGGCCCGGGCTTTGGGTGGCATCCTTACCACCTACGGTCTGACCTAGGCCTCTTGTTGCCTGTCCAGGCGCGGAATTCCTGGCCTCTCCGCCTGCGTTTGACTCCTTTGTTCTTTTTCTTTGCCTTCTTTCTTGCCTTGGAATGCTCTTTCGTGACGTGCGGCCTCCTAGGCAAAGGCGGCCGATCCGGTGAGACGGGCCTGCCACGTCCCGTGCGTCTGTAACTGGGACTCCTCTCTCTTCTGTCCGCTCTGCCGTGACGAGATGCGGATTCAGCTCCCGAAGATTCCTTGGGAGTTGCTCTGGAACCTCTCTCCTTTGAAGCCGATGCCTTCCCGCAGGGGGCTAAACCCAACCTCCTGGTGAGATAATCTGGGCGGAAATTGGGATGAAGCTTCCTGGGAGGCGTCTGGACTTCTAGACTTTTGTCGGGTTTCTCCTCTTTCGTTGTTTCCTTCTGTGTGACCTTGGGCCCTCCAGGAGACGCTGCCTGCCCCTCCTCTTTTCTCTCGGGTGCTGTGCCCTCTTCCGGTGATTCTTGAACAGGTTCTTCCTCCTCAGCTTCCTCTGAGTAGGAATAACAGCTCTGTGGAGAAGGGTCTTCTGTCTTGACTTTGGTACCTCCTTTAGGCCCGGGGGTCTGGGCCGGTGTTCCCCCCTGATCTGCCTCTTCCAGAGGCGGTGTGGGCGCTCTCCCAGGGAGGGCGCCTTCCAGGAGGTCTGAAAGCTCTCCCGCTACACCACGCAGGAGAAGAGTAACCTTTTCCTCCTCAGCAGCAGGGAGCTTTCCCGATTTGAGAATTCCCCAAACGCGCCCTGCAGCGCGACAAGCTCCGCAGACAGGATTTCCGTGGAAAACCCTGCACTGGGAGCAGGACATTCAGCTGAAGCCGAAATACTTAAAAAGGGATGAAAATGGGTTATGTGTTTACTCTTTAATCCCGTGGTCGTGAAATCATATAACATTAATATTAACAAGGGATGAGGTGCTTTACCTTTGGCGTTTTTTCTTCCAAAATTGCCCCAGAACTTTAGGCTGCGTGAGAACCACAGAAACTGACAAGGCAAATGTTGCAAAACGATTCACCCAAAATTCTGTGAGGGTCGCACCCGCATCAACCATGCCACTGCCCGGCCTGTCTCCACTCTAAGGGGCCATAGGAACTGGTTCCCAGGTGAGGTCTGCTCAAGTCAATGTGGCCGTGTGGCACGAAGTACCCTGATGAGAACACCTCGGCTGAGTGATCCGGTGAAAGCATATGGTCCTGGCACACTCTCAGAGGGATTTTATCATCCAACTACATCCAGCTAATGATACACCCTCTAAAAATCTAAGCAGAATCCCAAAAATTCCCCCAACATCCCCCAACACCCAGGTCATGTGGTCATATTTCTCATTCTTCCCCAAAAAGATCCCATGCTTCCCCTGCAGCTGCGGCACCCCTGCAGGAAACACCACCCAAGACGTCTCCAGCAGCGCATCCTCTAAGCGTTGGGCCTTGCCAGCCTCTCGCCGCGCAGCCATGAAGGAGGTGGGCTCTAACACCACGCCTGGTCATATCCATCCATAGGATTCCACAGGTGGATGCTGGACGTTGTTGGAAGGGATTGGGAAATACCCTCTGGTAATGACTAACAGTTTGCTATTGAACATGGCCATTTATAGTGGATGTTCCCATTAAGAATGGTGTTTTTCCATAGTTATGTTAGTTTACCAGAGGGTAGGGATCATGATGGATCATGCATGTTCCAAGAACGGGAACTCTTTAAAAACCAACTGAACTCTGAGGCTCTGAGGCTCTGAGGCTCTGAGGCTCTGAGCTGATTTCATGGGAATGACAATTTGTCAAAAAAACATGAATTTGGCGATAACTCATCACTCCTTGCGAGATTTCAGCAAGACCACAGAGCCTCGAATTCTGTCCAATTGCCAAAGGCTATCCCACAAATCGTTTCATATCCCCATAAAATCAATAACAATCTCATCCAGAATCATCTATAATCATCCATAATCGTCCCTAATCATCCACAATCATCCATAATCATACAATAATCATCCACAATCGCCTAAAGCAGAAAATCACAAAAGCATAGAAGCAGGAACAGAAAAGCAGGAATCCAAACAAAAACAAATTAAACCTTATCCAAAAAAAAACTTAAAATCTTAGAATATCTATAGTATAATAGCCCTCCAACATTAAAAATCCCATTGTTTCCCCCCAATTTTTCCCATGGATATCTCCCATCTCCGCACCTTCCCAGTCCCCGATCTTCGTGATCCCATCGTAGCTCCAGGGCGGCGCCCGTCCCACGTAGCGCCGCAGCGTGGCCTGGCCGCGCTGCAGCGCCTCGTCCACGGCCCGGTGGACGCCCACGCGGGTGCCGTAGTCGTCCAGGACGATGCTGTGCACCTTGGGAAAGGCCAGGATAGGCCAGGTCTTTACCATGAAAAATGGTGAAAAATGGTGAAGATCTGGGAAAAAATGGTGAAACAATGAGAAAAACCATGTGGGATTTCCCATGGCTTTTCCGGCATTTCCAGAAAAATTACAGGATTGAAGCAGGGTAAAAACCCGGTTGACCTGCAAAAGTGGGGATTGAACCGAAGGAATGCTGGTTGCTGAGATTCGGGGAATGATGGGGACCAAACAAGAGCAATGTCTATGGCAGGGGAAATGTCTCAAGCATATGGCCTTATCAGGGATTGTTTTAGGTGTAGCTGAAATGAATGTAAGCAACACAATATCATGGAAAAATATGGAAAATGTCCGCAAAGAGTGAGGCAGTGTCCAGGGGTCATTCGGAGGTATGGCATCAACTTGTTTGTTCAAACACTCTCATGGACATGAATGTGACAATCTGAAATAACCGAATTCAGGCCTGGTTCCCCTTGCTTGGCACCATTTCCTCTAACCTGCAACATGCACTTTCCAAAGCGTCTCCCCCCTTCGAAAATTTTCACCGATGTTACCTGGCCAAAGATCGGAACACCTAAAATTCTGGAAAAAAAATCTTGGAATTCGCAAAAAGATCAAAAAGCGGTTGAAATTCCATGATTTCTGAGCCAACCCAGGCGCGTAAGGCAAGGCCAGGGCCCGGTCCAAATCGCTCTTGACGCTGGCATAGTCGTGGGCTGCATCAATAAAGACCACGTGGATTTTGTTGTGGCCAAAAAGGTTCCAATCATCCAGGACGCTGTGAAATTGCAGGTAGACCTGGGAGTTATTCCAAGGAATCCTGATAGATTGCCTTATGATTAATTGATATGAATGGGAAAATCCTGATATCATCCATGTATCTGATGTACACATGGTAAATGGTATCATCATTTATCATCAGTTGTCATCATTTGTGATTTAAATTTGAGTTTGGGGGAACATGAACGAGCTGATGACTTTGTTAAACGATCTGGCCACTGGATCCACTGGATGCTCGCAGGAGAGAAAAGGCATACAAATGACGAGAACCCGTTGACGAATGTACTTGAAGAAAAACTCAACCATTCCAGACACAAACCAACCAAACACTTCAAACAAAAGACCAACCCACCCACACTACCATGCCATGCCAGGTCCAACTTGGATTTGCTCATCTGTGTGTCATGGCCAGAAAATATCACATATTCCTAACAGCTTCCCCTTTAGGCGGATCAAGCATCTAATCAGAAAAGTAAAAGAAATCATCAGATCATTCAGATCATCTTCCGCAACTCCATCCCCATGTCATGTTTTTTTTGTGTTCCTCAAACAGCCAGAAATTCGCCTGGCTGTTTCCTCCATGGTCGCCTTTAAGGTACCTGCCCAACCCATCCCACGGCCGGAACTCAGTCCCAGGGCGCCACGTTTTTCAGGTCGGCGTTGCGCAGGGCATTCTGCTTCAGCACGTGGGGCGAGTGCTCCAGTGCCAGCACGGTCTGAAAGAGGCGTGAGAGGACGCGGGTGCAGTGGCCCAGGTGGGCACCCACCTCCAGAATCACCTCCTGGTGACAGAAGTGGCAATGGATGATAGAGAAAACTGACTAAAAAGTGATGAAGATAGTAATAGTAAAGAAAGAAAAGGAAGAATAAGAAGAAGAGGAAGAAGAGGAATAGTAGTAGCACTTGGAATAGCAATTACCAATTGACATCTTTATCTGCGTCCTCATCTTTACACCACCACATCAATAACAATGCCAGATAGCAACGGAAGGAAAGTAAGTCTTGTCCTCCGAGTTGTTGCCGAACATCTCCTTGGTCGTCGGGGTAGCTGGTGTATCCATGCCCAAGTGGGCACTTTTTTTCAAACGCGGCAATGGACAATGACCTATATACCCTCTGGTAAACTAACATGCCTATGGAAAATCACATTTTTTAATGGGAAAATCAACTATAAATGGCCATTTTCAATAGCAAACTGTTAGTCTACCAGAGGGTAAATGGAAGGCCAGCAAGGTTCCACCAAATCCAGCTTGAAGCGACTGGAGGTGGTCCAGGCATCTTCGTTCTTATCTGGCAGCACATCTTTGGCCAGCCTCGTGCTGCGCCGTGGGGGAAAGGTATGGGAAAGGTCTAGCAGTGGGTAGAAGCTTTGAGGCAAACCAAGGTGTCGCATCCTCTCTCTCTATCTGTTTGCAGATTTTTGTTTTCTTTGGACATGCAATGTAATCCTCAGAAACACCAGCATATTTGGGACTGAACTGATGCCATGCGTGTGACGGGAAAAGCTGGGCTCATGTTCATTCCACTGACAACTCCCATCTCTTTCACCCCCTTCAGTTACATTCCGCAGTTGCATCTGGACACTTTTTCCAATCTGACCCAATCCCAGACAGGTAGGAAATCTTGCAGGAAAGCCCCATCGACTCATCAGAAAACCCCGATCGACCCACCGGGAAGCTCATCCATGTTGGGCGCGCCGCCAGATCTTTGGGCCAGCAGCACCCAGATCCAAAACCATCTCCATGGCGATGGCGAAAACGACGCTCGGGGCATGGGGGATGTTGGACTACGAGTTCCGAGAAAGCCATCAGGGCCTGATTTTATGGGTAACATTAGGGGTAACTATCCAAAAAAAAAATTGGGGAGATTCTATGATTCTCTACCTTTTTCTATATGTTCATATTCCATACCATGGGGATTCCACCCCCCGAGCCGAGGTGACACCCAAAACCTAGTGCTTGGTGTGTGCTCAATGGTGGTTTTCATAAGCTTGATAAGCCCATGTTTTATGCCCTGATGAATTATTCGGAAATTCGGGTCATCTTTGGGTTCCTTCCCAAGTTCTTGCGGAGCTAAAGAGCCTAGGAGGAAAAAAAAACCTGACACGATGGGGCCCCACCAAATGCACTGCAAATGGGCTTGAAACTACACATAAGTGTCAGGTCCATTCAACCATATCTGCAAGACATGCCCTTATACCCATGCAGAAATTCCAATGCGGACTGCATCCTCCTGTTTTCCATGGAACCTGGACCATGCAGCTGACCGCAGCCAGGCTTCTAATGGCCGCAGTTGAGTGTGGAATCATCAACCATGAACATCCTGGATGGTGAGTTGCTCCCACTGGCGAACCATTGGTGAAAATCTAAGTATATCTAAAAACAGTTGTTTAAACATAAAAATATAAATCATACCAATGGTTAAACTTAGATATATCAGTGTTTACTATCATACCATGTGAAAATCCTGAATTTTCAACATGTTTAAACATCGTCACGGTGGTCGTCAACTCCCCGCTTTTGTGGACCACCATCAATGTCCCAATGCCTGCGCCATGCCCGCGGGCACCAAAACGGTACCGGGAGGGGGCATCCATTCAGCTGCATAGAAGGTGGGCGCCTGGTGTAACATTGGAGATGTCATGGTGGTTTCAGCCCTGGTTTCATGGGAATTGAAGGGAGATTTCACCAACAAACATGGACACAGTGGGAATTACCCTCTGGGATCTCTGGGTAGTTTCTGCAGTTGAACAGTTTGCTATGGAAAATGGCCCCATTTCAGATGATTTGCCCTACACTTTTGGGGTCTGCACGAAGGGCACCCCAAAATGCGAGAGTTGATCTCATTCTGTTTCAACCCCGGGATTTTGAAAGAAACATGGGCTGTTGATCATTTGTTTGGGGTGATTAATCTGGGGTTAACATGAATGTAGGATCCATCAGGCCATAGTCTTTGGAGAGTCAGGTAAATCGCCCCGTTTTTAGGGAGTGACATACCCAATGATACACCCCGAATTAGGAATGGAGCCATCCACAATGGGATTTGATTCGATGGAGAGATCTCCAGCCTGGAAAACAGCAGAGCTCTCTACATGTTTTTCGGGGGCCCCAAAGAGATTTGGATGGAGGCGTGACCTGCCAATACGCTTGCAGTATGGTATAAATTAAAATATATCTATCTATCTGTGTTTTCTAATCTAATCTATGTAATCTATCTATCTATCCATCCATCCATCCATCTATCATCCATCCATCCATCCATCCGTCCGTCCGTCCGTCCGTCCGTCCGTCCGTCCATCCATCCATCCATCCATCCATCCATCCATCCATCTAATCCATCTATCAATCAATCAAATCAAACCAAATCTAATCTAATCTTATCTAATCTTATCTATCTATCGATCTATCTATCTGTCTGTCTATCTATCTATCTAATCTAATCGAATCTAATCTAATCTAATCTTGTCTTGTCTTGTCTTGTCTGTCTGTCTGTCTGTCTGTCCGTCCGTCCGTCCGTCCGTCTGTCTGTCTGTCTCTCTCTCTCTATCTATCTATCTATCTATCTATCTGATCTATCTGATCTATCTGATCTATCTGATCTATCTATCTATCTATCTATCTATCTGTCTATCTATCTATCTATCTATCTATCTATCTATCTATCTATCTGATCTATCTATCTATCTATCTATCTATATATATATCTATATCTATTGTTTCGAATCTAATCTATGCAATCTAATCTAATCTAATCCAATCCAATCTAATCTAATCTATCTATCTATCTATCTATGCATTATCTATCTATTTCTATATCTATCTATATCTATCTGTATCTATCTGTATCTATCTGTATATATCTGCATATATCTGTATATATCTGCATATATCTGCATATCTGTATATTCTGTGCGTGGGGGTTGTAAGTTATCAGTTATCAGATATAACAGTATACGTTGTACATGCGCACAGCCCAAAAGAAAATTTGCCTATATACCTTGAAAGTCAAAGGACACCTTTTAGCGAGAATTCACAATCAACGTACTGCACTGGTGTAAGTTGAGCTGTTGAGCGCAAACATCAGCCAGTAATGGGACAAACCACATGATCTATGACAAGTACCTGATGTTACCCCTTAAGGACCTGCCACATTATGAGGGATTGGCCCCGCCCAAATGGGGGCATCGTTTGTCCATCAGAAGTGCTACGGATGGCGAAAACCGTGGCTTCCCTGCAATTCTCTCTCTGAAAACCAGCGAAAATGGCTCTACAAATGTCATAATGATATCCTTAGCTCAACCTGGGTGAAATGGGATTTGCACTTATCTCTACTTGGATCAACCAGAATTGGGTACATTCACTGAGCCCAACCCTCCAGCTGACAACAATGTTCCCGCAAAATCAAGGTCCCCAGATTGATTCCGCTGTGGGGGATGGCCATTTCAATGGCCATTTCAGCCACCATCCCGGCCCTGAAAAAAAATTGGGGGCTGCAGTTTCAGCTGGTGGAAGATTCTATCTTTTGGTTAACACCATGTTAGTAGTGTCCATATTTTGTTGCTTAAATTCATCGTTCCAGATTCTCGTGTGTTCGGACAGCAGCTCTGTCGGCCTCTGACCCGCCGTACCAGCCAGGACCTTGACACGGGGCCACGGGACCCCGGCCGGAGGGAAAATTCACCGTTTTTGATAGGTACGGTACATGATAGATTCTGATAGATAATTAGGAGATGTTCCATTGGTTTTTTTGAAACCCTGATTGCTGAAGATTGTTTGCGATCACCTTTCGGGGTAGGCAGTTGGGAACTTGAAGGATCCAAGTGGCCTTGAAAAAGTGGAATCCTTGAGGTGGATTTCCATGAATTCCCCATTTTTTCGTTGTTGCTCATTGTTGTTCACTGGATCTTCACCTCCCCTGAGATGCCCCACTGGTGTAGACCTGGGTGGTCGGCCACATCTGCCCATTCCCAGACGCCTGGCTATGTTGGGATTTCCATGGCATGTTTTTCTTCTCCGGCTCCCATAAAAGAGTCAAGCCTTCCCAAAAAAAATCAGGACCAGATTTTTTTTACACAATCCAGCATGTTGCTTTGAACCCCAAAAATGGTGATACAGTGATACCCAAACCTACCTACAGCATCTACAGCATGTTTTCATACTTGGTGGCTCATCCCACGAATCGTAAGTGGGTTAGTTCACCCCAGTTATAAATGGGATTTGTGTAGGGTTAATCCATATCAATCACTGGGGTTATAAACCACTTACGAGCCGTGGGATGAGCCACCAAGTAGGGCAAACTATGGGAACAACCCGCGCCTCCATGGCCTGTAAGGTTGCCAAGCCATGGGCGCGATAGGCAGACAAACCTGCGCCGATGAACATCGGCGGAATGCCCGGATTTGAGGTGGGGATCCTCCAGATTCATGATGTATATGTATATATCATATATATAGATATATATATATAGATAGATAGATAGATAGATAGATAGATATATATATATCTGTATATATATATATATATATGTATATATAATCCAGTCTTGATAAGTTAAACATTGAATATCATAAGTTACTCCTAAGTTACTTATAAGTGATGACATCAATTTGGATTCAAACTCTATATTAGTTGGGATTGAAGCTGAGTTGGGAGTCAACTGATTCCGGCATCAAATAAAGGAGAATTCGCAAGTCCTTACTAGTCCCTACCCTCCGGTTGTACAACATGGCCACCGACTCATTTTTCACTGCTCTGTCTTTGTATCAGAGAGCGTAGTGGCCTAGTGGACTGGAATGGCCAAGTCAACAACTGGTTGAAATGGTTTTGCCGAAATAAATAATTTACCAATCATGGAAAATAATAAAGGGCAAGCTGGGCAAGTGGAAGAAAAAGGATGTTCAGTGATCCTCCTCTTCTTGGCATTTTTTCTCCTGACAACGGTGCAGATGTTTTTTTGATGTGTTTTATTTTTCTTGGCGATTTTTGTTTGTTTTTCGATCTGGTGCACTTTTCCTTGCTATTTGCTATATTTTGGAGCTAAAATATGTAATTTCCCAATGTGTTGAATTTGGGAGCTAACATTTCTCTTTGCACTGTTCATCGATTTTTCCATGGTCAGTTCTAATCGATTTTTCCGCGGTTTTAGTCGATGTTTCGGTGCTGTCACTCAATTTTTCCATGGTTTCAATTTGATTTTTCCATGGTTATGCGATTTTTGAGGCAGAATCCCTTGGTCAGATTCGCACCTTCAGCCCCTATGGCCCGTCGCCTGCATCGTGACCGCTGTCTCTCCGCGGCTCTGCCAGCGGCCGGTCCTCGTCAAACTGCAAGTTGAGTTGCGGGATATGTTGCATGTTGTTCGCATTTATTATCATTATATATGCATAATTATGCATATATATGCTGTCATGGTTGGCTATTTACTATCAGGGAAAAAACATGTGTAACCCCATATATATATATATTTATATATATATATATTCGTGACTGCACGGGACACTTTCACTTCACATGGAAGAACAATGGCACTTTCATTTTGCTGGTGGACTCCAAGTTAAGTCCCCATTTTTGCAGATGTTCATCATTCGCCATGATTTTGCCCAGCGACGTGCATCTCCATGGCTTGCAACGTTGCCAAGCCCTTTGCACGATAGGCTGCCAGCCCTCGGCCATGAGGGTTCCGATGGGGAAAGAAAAGCACCAAGCTCCTGAAATGATTTCAGGTGCTTCCACATTTCCATAATTTTCATTAATTTTCCATTTCTGGATTCAAGGGTTAGCAACTACCCAACAATTCTTCATCTTCAAAAAGAGAATCCGCGGTCTTTGCACGGTTCCCCCCACAAAAACACAAAGCGCGCTTTCTCACTTCCATGCCACTGTTTTGCCCGTTTCCCAGTGCCACGTCAGCCTGCAGAGACATTGCCCTTGTCTCCCATGGGGTGCAGGAAGCTCTGCCTCAGTCGACTCCTCTTCTCACACATCACACGCAAATGTGAAACACACAGACCAGAAAGACCGAATAAAATCAGAAAAGTTATGTTAAACAATGTCGGACAGTTTTATTTACAAGTCTGATTGCGAAATTTCATAACATTAAAAAAACATAAGCGGACTTGATTTATTGAGTTTTGAAAGATTTCAAGTATGAGCTGACCAACATTGATTCAGTTTCATTCAATTTCAACATCTCAGATATCTCAGTAGTTCACCTTCTCCATCTCTGTGGATTCCTCGGTGCCTTGGGCGCTGGCGTCTGGTTCCCATCCCTCCTCTTCCGCCGCGGCCGCGATGGCCGCCTCGGGACTTCTGAGCCAGAGCGTAGGGGTATGATATTGCTATTGCATGCGTATATGTGTGTATATAACAAGAAATATATATATATATATGGTGCAGCGTTGGCCACCCCCCCTCCCCCCCCCCACCAATGGGTATGGGTGGACAGTATCGTCTGGTTCTTCTGGTCCCCCCCCCCCTGTGGCCTGTGGTGGTGGTAGTGGTATGTTGGTATGTTGGTAATGTTGGTATGTTTGGTATGTGGTATGTATGTATGTATGTATGTATGTCTGTATGTATGTATGTATGTGTGTGTGTGTATGTATGTATGTTGTAATGTATGTATCTATGTATGTATGTATTCCTTTATCTTTCCTGTTCATTATGTTTCTTTCCTTACTCATTTTGTATTTTTGTATGTATTATGTTCCTGTTTATTTGTTTCTTATGTTTCTTTCTGTCCTTTCTGTGTCATGTCCTTTGTCCTGGGTATCCTGTATGTAATGTATGTATGTATGTCGTAGTCTGTAGGTAGGTAGGTCGGTCTGTATGTATGTATATAACCCCCACAGGGGCATCATACCCCCCCCCCCATCCCATGGGGGGGGGGGGGGAACACGGGACACGGGACCATATATATATATGTATATCTCTTCAAATGTATATGTATATATATATATATATTCATATAATATATATATATATTCATATAAATATATTCATATTTAAATGTATATATATTCTTATATATATATATTCATATATTCATATATATATATAGATATATGCATATATATACAAATATTCATATGAATATATTCATATTAGATGTATATATATTCAAATATATAGATATATATTTTCAAATATATATGTATATAATATATTCAAATATATATATATATGTATGTATATATGTAAATATATATTCATTTTTCCAGATGTATTTTTATTCATATATATATATATGTATATTTATATATATATATATATTCATGTATCTATGTGTATATATGTTCAAATGAATATATATATATATATATGTATGTATGTATATATATTCATATATATATACATGTGTCAACATATGTATCTATATATATATTCATATATATATATATACATTTGTACATATATACATATGTATATATATATATATATTCACATATGTTCATATATATATATATTCGTCTATGTATATGCATGTAGATATATATATATACATATATATATGTATGTTCTGATATATATATATGTAAAGATCTATATATATATATATATATTTGTTCAATATGCATCAATTCATATATATATATATACTCATCTATGTGTATATATATATATGTTCAGATATATATATATAGTCATCTATCTATATTTAAATATATATATATACATATTTATATGTGTATATATATACATGTGTGTATGTATGTATTTATTGTCTCAAATATATATATATATTGTTTTTTATTTATCTAAATATATTTGTGTATATTTTCATATGAAAGGAAAAATATTCATATATATATATTTATTTAAATGTGTGTATAAATATATGTATTCATACATACATATATATATGTGAATTTATCCATTTATATATTCATATATATATATTCACATATATATTCATATTAATATATATATATGTATATTCACATATATTTTTTATGTATATATATATATATTTAAATTCATTTATATATCTATATATATTTATATATATTCACATATCTCTATATATACATATATATATATATATGATCATTTACATTTATATATATATGTATATGTTCAAATGTATTTATTTACATGGTATACATGCTTCAAGCCAAAAAAAAAATATATGTGCGTCTTTATATTCATATATATGTATTTATATTCATATATACATATGTATATATATATATATTCATTCATATCTGCAAATATATATATATATATAACTATAATAATATTCAAATTTAAATATATATTTATATATATATGCAAAAATATTCAAACATATTTATATATATTCGTATACTCAATTATACATGTTTTTATTTTCATATGAATATTTTTTAAATATGTATATATATATAAATATATATACGTAAATATGTTCATAAATAAAGATTTCTATTTATATATATATGTCTGTGTATATATATATATTCAAATATTTCAATATATATGTAGACGTATTCATTTACATACATATATATATATGCATTCACATTCAAATATATACATATATATATATATATTCAAATATGTGTTTATATATTCATATATATGTGTGTGTGTATTTATCTGTATTTAATTATATACATGCATGTTTCATATATATATATGTGTGTGTGTGCGCGTGTAAATACATGCGCGTATGATATTATATATATATGTATGTATGTATATCTGTGTGTGTGAGTACTCCGCGCGTGATTTTGTTGGTACACTTGTGTTGTACGTAGCCAATATGTAGCTCTGATTACAGTTCTGTCAGGTGCGATGGATGACACGCACAAATCACAGAAGTGCACCTGTATTACCGCAGGCATTTTGGTTTGGAAAACAGGCACGGGCTTTGTCGTTGTCGAGGGTTATGAGCCCAACCCTTGCGTCTACTCTGGGCTTTTGAAATAGCCATGGAAGTTGGTGGTTCTAGATCCCATTCAGTGCCTGTTGGGGATCGAAGCGGCCCAGGTGGATTGGACGTGAATCCTTTCTACTCCGAGAAGGCCAAGGACCAATGCAGGTTAGATGCAGCAAGACCTAAGGAATTGCCTGCGCAAGAAGAAGAAGTTCTAGCTGGAAGTTTTAGCAGTCCTGAATTGGCGATTCAGTCCAACGTGGATGGCAACCCTACTGGAAAAGGTCGAGGAAGTGCTTCGGCTGGTGTGATGCCGATGGATGAGACCGAGGTGGGGATCCGCGTGTTGAAGACTGAGGGAAAATTGCCAACTGTGGCTACTGGAACCAATGGGGAACCTGAAACTCTTGCTACGGGTGAGGAAAGTGGTTTGCAAAGAGCTTTGGAAGTAGAAATGGTTGATTTTCTACGTCAACAAAATTCGAAGCTACAAAATGAAGTAGCGGCTCTCAAGGAGAAACTGGAAAAGTCTTCGGGGGCTGGTTCTTCACCATGGTCAAGAATAGACGGGATTGGAAGTGGGTCGGCTAGTGATTCACAAAAACATGACCGTCATGTGAGAAATGGTAGCAGAACACCTCGTGGTGCTGTTCGTGAAGTTGCAGTTAGTCCTGAGAGAAAAACCAAAAGGGATTCACTGAAATTCACACCAAATGGTACTCGTGTGCCGGATGGTCCACCGCCAACTGCAAGTGTCAGCTGTTTGCCTCCTGTGCCACCTTTGCCAGTCGTTGAGAATGAGCAGGTTGGGGGTAGTCAGCGTGTGGGCACCAGTTTTGATGATGGACTGTATGATACATGCGAATCAAAACCGCGTGTGAGAAACGGTGATGTTCAATGGAAACCTCATGATGAAAAAGGGAATGATGCAATTCTTTCTCCTCAAGAGGCAAAACAAGCATGGTTGGAAAGGGAGGTTCGGTCTTTGAAAGTTGCACTGGATAGGGTAGCTGTTCCATCAACTCTGACTGAATCTGCATATTGGAATCCGTCCGGGGGTGCTGGCAACGCGCATGGAAAAGATCTACGTCATTTGCTTCCTGGAAGTGGTGAAGATGCACAACAAGGTCGAGCTCCGCAGTCCTATGATGGTCTTCAAGGTGGTGATCGGGCTTCGCAGGTGCTTGGTGATGCTGCTCAACAAGGTCGGGCTCTTCGTGGCGCTGTGCATGGTGAAGGTGCTCAACAAGATCGGGCTCTGCATGGCACGGTGCTTGGAGATGATGCTCTACGTGGAGTTGCGATTGGAGATGGAGGAGCTCATCATGGTCGGGCTTTGCATGGCACTGTGCTTGGAGATCTACCTGGACATGGTCGGGCTTTGCATGGTGGTGCGGCTGAACAACTTCATGGTCTTCCTCGAGATGAACGACTCCATGGTGGCGCTGAACTACATGGTCTTCTTCGTGACGGACGTCTTCATGGTGGAGGAACTATGGGTGTTGCACCAATGCCGGCATCATGGGAAGCGTCTGGAGGTGGAAGTGGTGGAAAAGCTGAACTGCCGACGTTGCCGAATGGCGCATCGCCGTTGGAGTTTGGAGATTGGCTTTGTCTTTGTGGTCCCATCATGAAGGATTTGTCTCATGTCGCTGGAAGATGGTGGGATGCAACGGTGAGACAAGCTCATGCCTTCTACATGGAATGGAAGGGACTATCTCCTCTACAACGTGTTCAACTTTGTCCTCGTCTTCCTGATGAACTGATGGCAAGCTGCTTCATCAGAACGGAGCAGAGGGGTGTCACACTTTTGCTCAAAGCAGTGGGCGATGAGCAGCAACGGGAGCTGGTGGTGGATCGAGATTTGACCAGTACGGCGATTCTGTTCCGCCTCTACGTGCGGCATCAACCAGGAGGACCAGGTGAAAAGGCAATCCTCTTGGGGCAATTGACCTCACTGCAAAAGGCATCTTCGATGCAGGAATTGGCTTCTTCTTTGAGAACATGGCGGCGATACTTTGCAAGGGCCAGGGAGGTGGATGCAAGTTTGCCCGATGGAGTGCTGTTGATAAAAGCACTTGAAGCTGCGGTTGTCCAGATCGCCAAGGAAGACTCCCAAGCAGCGTTCAGGCTTTCCACAAGCCGGCAACAACTTGCACTGGATCAACGTCCTACGGAGCAGTCAATTTGGAGCTTCAGTCAGTGTTTGTTGGCTGAGGCAGAAACTTTGAGCTTGCTGAAGTCCTCTTCTACAACGTCTACAAGTGCGAGCACACCGGTGAGACTCAAGCAAATGGATGCCGAAGCATCAAACTCACCTCAAAAGCCTGGCACTCCTGGAAACTATGGCAACAAGTCCGGCAAGGGCAACTCAACTCCTATGTCGGAGCAACCATGCAAGTTTTTCAAGAGTGATGGTGGATGCAAGGCTGGCAAAAACTGCAAGTGGTCTCACAGTTGGGACAACATAGAGGACAAAGGCAGTAGATGCTGGATATGCGGCTCCAAGGAACACAGAAGGTCAGAATGCCGCGTCAAGGGTTCTGGAAACAAACCTTCGTCCAATGAATCTGGTTTGGGGGGAGGACGTGGAAATCAAAATGCAGCTGCAGCAAACAACAAAGCGGCTGTCAAGCAAGCTTCAGTTGGAAAAGGTCAAGATGGTGGAGTTGCAAGCTCAACAACTGATCAAACTTCCTCCAGTACAAGCGCTGATGGTCCAGGACTGGGTGCTGAGAGTAACTCCCTTGGGACTTCATCTAGTGCAACCTCGGAGGTGGATAAGGGGGGAGCTCCAGCTGCCACTCCTGCGACCACTGAACTGTTGGCAGAAGCCACTCAGTTGCTGAAGTCTTTGCGTATGCCCAACCTGAAGGTGATGCGACTGTCAAAGTTGGAGTCTCATGCTCAAATGGTGTTGCTGCTGGACTCTGGTGCAACACATGGCCTACGTCCTGCAGCTTCAGAAGAAGAATGGCAGTCGGGCACAAGAACTCAGGTGATGTTGGCCGATGGTGTCACAGAAAGCCTCCGTTTGAAGCCTGGCACCAAAGTTTTGCTTTCCGACCCTCTCCTTCGGCCTGAAAATACCTCTTGGATCGTTCCAATGGGATGCTTGAGCGAGCTCAACTACAACTTGGTGTGGAAAGACCACATGTGCCATCTCTACACAAAAGCTGGAGACAAGGTCGATGTGGAACTTCACAATGGATGTCCCTACGTTGCTCATGAATTTGGAGCAAAGCTGCTGACGGTGTTGGAACAGCATCAAATTCAACAAGAGCTGAAAAAGATAACCTTGAAGTCGATCTTGACAAGAGGGGCTGCCGGTCTTGGCAACAACATGAGCATTGAAATGGCGATGCTTGTCAAGCTCAAGGAGGTCATGCCGACTCTGCCTGAAGATTTGGCGTTGAAGCTGGTCCCAGATCTCTCAGTGCTCACGGACCCCAACATCGGCTTGAACCTTCCATGGAATCGCAGAAAGCGAAAAAGACTCATGATGGCAAAGAATGTGATCATCCACATGTACAGTGGACCTGATGCTTCTTACTGGGAGCGGCGTTTGTCAAATGAGCACACTGAGGTGCTGTGCGTGGACTTGGAAGCCTCAACACCTTCAAATGCTTTGGATGAAACAACCTTTGCGTTTTTGCTTTCCTTGTGCGCCAGCAAACGTGTCAAAGCTCTACTTGGAGGCCCTCCATGCAGAACAACAAGTGCTCTCAGGTTTCAAAAAGATGATGGTCCACCAATTCTTCGAACAGAAGATCACCCATATGGTTTGCCATCATTGACTCCACAACAAGCTGAATTGGTCACCAATGACTCAATTCTGTGGCTCCGGTTGATGCTGATGTACATCCTCTGCGAAGAAGTGCGTCCAAAAGAACAAGCTCAAACTGCATTTCTTTGTGAACAACCCCAAGACCCAGCGGAATACCGCAAGAAGGAGGATGTGGATGAGCACCAGTACTTTTCAATGTGGAGAACTCAGGAATGGAAAAGCTTCCAAGAAGCCTACAACGCCAAGCTGATCTCCTTTGATCAAGGGCCTTTTGGACACCCAAAACGAAAGCCAACCACTTTGGCCTTGATCAACATGAATGAGATGATGCAGCTACAAGATGTGCGAGGTCGTGGAGCTGAACCTGAAGTTGCTCCGCTACCAGAACTCAGCGTGAAAGAAAGATGTGCTATGTCAAAAACTTGGGCGGCTTGGGCACCTGGTTTGAAGGCTGCAGTTGCTGAAGCAATCAGCAGATGGATTCGCCGTGAAGCGCCTCCACGTGAAGGACCTGAAGATCCTACTGGCGTTGTTTACGCCGATGACGATGTCCGACCTGTTGGTGTCGCTGCAATTGGAAATGTTGCCCTTCAACAATGGAAGCAACACTACATGCAGGACCACATGCCGGCCCGTCGAGATTGCAGCCACTGTGTACGTTCTCAAGGTCGCAGTCGAGCACATCGCCGAGTCTGTCATCCTGAAAGCTTCACTTTGAGCTTGGACATGTCTGGTCGGATGACTGGTGGCAAGGACCAAACTCCTGGTACCAACAAATACTTCTTGGTTGGAGTTTACACATACCCCGTCAACAAAAAGGGGAAACCACTCTTGTTGCGTCCTGACCAAGATGAAGAGGAAGATCACCCTTTGCCTGGCCTTGATGACCCTGAGCTCTCGGGTGATCCTCAAGAACAACAACCTGGAGATGGTCAACCACCTCAACAACATGGTGAACGAGTTCAACAACCAGCGGGCCACGAAGCTCAACATGAACAAGGTCTTCCTGCAGGAGTTGCGCAAGAGGAACCTGATCCTCTCCAAGAAGAATCGGTTCCTGACCTTGTGGAAGATGAAGAAGTAAAGTCAGCCTATGGAATGCACGACACTTGGATGCGTCTCATCAATGAGTCCAAGGATGTCACTGTGCGCAACCTCACTTTTGCAGAGCCCATTGCAGATCGAAATGTGCACAACGTGCTGCCGGCGATCGCCAAGATCTATGCTCGTTTGCGCTCTTTGGGTTGCCCTGTGTACCGAATGCACAGTGACCGTGCACGTGAATTTTTGGCAAAACCTGTCCATCAATGGTGTCTTGACCGTGGAATAGTTCAAACTATGACACCTGGCAGTGCTTTCAAAACAAACGGCAGAGCTGAAAATGAAGTTGGGATGATCAAAAAAGGTGTCCGCACTTTGATCTCTGCTGGAGCATGCCCTTTGGACAGATGGCCTCTTGCGGTGCGACATGTTGGAGAAAGACGTCTCCGCAATCAACTCAACCAAGCAGGCTGGCCAGTTGAAAAACTTTTGAGGTTTGGCTCAAAAGCCTATGCCCTCAAGAAAAGCTGGCAAGATCGCTACGCTCAATGGCGTGATTGCCGAGAAGAAGTTGTGGTGTGGGGCCCCGCTGAAGGATCTTCTATAACCACAACAACATACTATGTCAAAGCAGTTGCAACGGAAAGGTGCTTCTACACTGATGATGTGGTGATTCCTGCGGATGATGGCATGAATGCAGCTGTCGATGCTGGTCCCGGGGGAGAAGTTTTGCCATATCTCCCTGAACGTGATGAAAGACAAGCTCAACCGCTTTTTTGTGATGGTGTGCCAGCACGAAGATTGAGATCAAAGACAGCTCCGCCACCAGCAATTGCCACTATGTCAATGTTGCACATTGAGGGGGAGAAGCGCATCCTTGCAAAGTTTGGCAGTGTGTTTGAGTTTGCGCTGCCGCCTGACAATGAAGTTGCCTCTGAAGGTTCATGGACTTTGGAAACAACGCTTTCTCCAGCACAACAACATCCACCTCAAGAACAACATGAGGTTCATGATGCTCCGCTACCAGGGCATGATGATGGAAAGGATGGTGATGGGGGGCAAACAGAAACTGATGAAGTTCATGATCAAAAGGAGGAGGAAAGTGATGTGGAGGAGGATTTGGGGGAGGCGCCTAACAGCAGAGACGGTGGCTCAAGCTCTGCGGCCTCAAATGTATCAAGAAATGTTCTGGTTAGAATGTCAAAGATACAAGCCCTCCAAACCATCCACGGCAATGTCTCGGACTATATAGCCGAGGAGATCTGCAAGCTTGATGGCACCTTCCCTGAACAAATGTGGTGTCTTCCTGAGCTCAACAAAGCTCTGGTCAAAAAGGTTGAAGTTGAAGAACAAATTCAACTGCTTGCGGATGAAGATCGAGCTGAAGAACAACAACAGCTTACTCATGAGTTTTTGGTCACCAAAACGGTCAGCAACAAAGAAGTTCGTGAAAACCTTGCGGACTGGACTGAGTCCATCAAGGCCGAGTACGAGCAGCTTGTCGTCAACCAAAAGGCTGTCAAACCAATGACGAGAACGGAACTCCAAAAAATGGCTGAAGTGCAAAACAAAACTTTGGAGATCCTTCCAGCAAAAATGGTTCACACTAGAAAAGCTGGATCAGGAGCATACCGTTCAAGAGCAGTGGTGTGTGGAAACTACCAGACACCGAATGACGACAACACGTACGCTGGAGGTGCTGATGCAACACAGATCCGAACAATGCTAAGGATCAGTGCTCAGTACAAGTGGAAAGCTGCTTCAACTGACATACGAACGGCGTTCCTCAATGCGCCGAGAAGAGACTCCAGACTCATAGCTATGGAAGTGCCGCATGTGTACAAAATGTTGGGCCTGGCTGGACCTGATGAAGTTTGGCTCATCATGCTTGCAATGTACGGACTCCAGGCTTCACCAAGGGACTGGTGTCTTCACCGTGATGCAGTTTTGCCAACGCTGAAGTGGACAAGGCAAGGTCCAAATGGGTTGCTGACTGGAGGTTTTGAGAAAACAAAAGATGAAAATGTTTGGCGCTTGGAAGAACTGGATGAATCAGGCTACATCCACTGGAATGGCCTCATGTCGGTGTATGTGGACGACATCTTGGTCACTGGTGAAGAGTTTGCAGTTCATGGCGCTCTACAAGCTCTTTCTGGAGTTTGGACAACGTCTTCTGTGGAGTGGGCTGGTGTTGACAAGCCTCTCAAGTACTGCGGTTTTGAGATATCTGAAGATGCCAAAGGCGATGGCTTTCATGTCAACCAGCACATGTATGAGCAGGAGATGTTGCAACGTTGGAATGTTGATGAAGGAGTTGAATATCCTCACTACAAAGTTGCTGAGGATCAAGAAGTTGAAGAAAGCCCTGACCCAAATGATGTCAGGACAGCTCAAGCTATGGCTGGTTCTTTGCTGTGGTTGAGCTCCCGAACACGACCTGACCTGGCTCATGGAGTTGCAACAATGAGCAGGCTTATGACAAAGGCTCCTGTCAAAGCCATTCAGATCGGCACAACGTTGATGAAATACGTCAAGGGAAACCCTGGCGTTGGTTTGAGGTACACCACACATGTTCCTGATGACTGGGGCGCCCATGGCCAGCTGAAGGTGAAAAGAAGTGACCTGCTCCTGGAGATCTTCTGCGACATAGCCTATTCAGCAGGTTCTGGCCACAGAAGCGTCCAAGGGATCGTTGTTTGCCTTGGTGGTCAGCCGATCTGTTGGCAAACAAGCCAACAACCTTTTGTGACCCACAGTACGGCTGAAGCTGAGCTGGTTAGCTACTGTGAAGGCCTGATCGCTGGCAAGGCAGCTGAAGCTCTGGTGATGGAGCTCACAGGTGTTACAGCTGTGATGAAAGTCATCTATGGTGACAACATTGCCGCGATTGGACTGGCCAATGGAACTACAGCTTCTTCATGGCGAACAAGACACTTGCGCATCAGAGCAAGCCTTTTGAAACAAGCCCTTGATGAAACTGATGCAGCTGGAGGCCAATGGAAGCTGATCCATGTGCGTGGCCTTGACTTGGTCGCTGATGGTTTTACAAAGCCTCTTTTTGGAGCTGCCTTTCAACGTTTTGTTGAAAACCTTGGCATGAATGCACCGCTTTTGCGGCCTGAAGACCCTGAAGTACGTGCGGCTCAAGTGAGAAGTCGCAACAACCAAGAACGTGCTCATGCGGGTGCTGCTGCAGCAATGAGTTTTTTTGTTGGTCAGACGTTGCTGACAGAAGCTACAGCTCTGGAGTTGAAAAGCGAGAGCGATGAAGCTGATCCGTTGTGGATAGCTGCGGTGCTGCTGATGATCCTTGGGGCAATCTATGCAGGCAAATTGACAATGATGTCAGCGAAGTGTTGCCTGAGACGATTGCAATGGGTCAACGAGCCTCAAGCAGTTGTTTCACGTGATGGTGATGAATCATCAAGCTCCGCTACCAAAGGTGTTGAAATGAGATCGAGTTTGAGGCGACGCTCGGGCTCTTCGAGCGGATCTGGCCCTGCGCAGGACTTTGGAGCGTCTTCAAGCGGTGCTGGAAATGTTGGCCCTGTGCAGGCCCCTTCTGCTGGATCTATATGCAGTTCTGGCCCTTAGCAGGCCCTTGGCGCTGAGTCTTCAACGAGCAGCGTGGTGATTGGCCCTGGGCAGGCCACAAGTTCGACAAGTTCAATAACTGCTGAACGTGCTCGCCTTGTGCAGGCCTCTGGAGCATCTTCGTGCAGTTCTGGCCTTGGGCAAGCCTCTGGAGCATCTTCGTGCAGTTCTGGCCTTGAGCAGGCCCTGGGATCTATGAATGTGGCGGCTGACGGATCTTCTAGCACTGGACTTGGCCCTGTGCAGGCCTTTTCTTCGAGTGGTGCTGGTCCTTTTGCTGCTGCGGCTTCTGGCCCTGTGCAGGCCTCTGCGGCTTCTTCAGGTCCTGAGCAGGCCTTTGCAGCTGATGTATCTGGCCTTGAGCAGGCCCTGCGCGCTGTGGCGGAGATTTCTTCTGCGGCTGCTGCTGATGGCGTTGGCGTCGAAAGCGCTTTGCAGCGGCATGCAGCCGGAGTGAGCGAGGCATTGCGGGCTGGGGGATCCATAAGGGATTTACATAACCCATGGAATTTGTTTCAACATGAAAATAGAGGCAAAGGATGGTCGCCGGCAAAGATGTCAGCCATGTACAAGAAGTGGCGATCATCCGAAAAGGATAAAATGCCTTGAGCCTACAATTTTTAGGTCTCTCTCTTAAATTTTTGTCTTGAAATCCAATTCAATTTGGCTGGGTGCCAAAAATTCGAAGTTTTTCCTCCAAGGAATCGTGAGACCACGATTGGGGGAGTCTGTCAGGTGCGATGGATGACACGCACAAATCACAGAAGTGCACCTGTATTACCGCAGGCATTTTGGTTTGGAAAACAGGCACGGGCTTTGTCGTTGTCGAGACAGTAATTAGATCTGCAGGTATGTTGCCAAAAAAAAAATCTGATGGCCTTGGGCTAACGCCAGAGGCTTCTAACTTGCACGAGTTGAGCCATGCAAAACCTCGATGTCCTGCCCTTGGGCTGATCGATGGAGGTTGCCACCCTGGATCACCACATATAACATACAACGTATTTACAACCACATTCAGCCCGGCAGCATACACCCCCACAACCCCCCAAAAAAAGAAACACTAGGAAAATGATCTCCCCAAGCCTGGGAAATGGAAATTCTCATGGAAAATCACGGCAGGCTTCAGGTCTCTCAAGGCCTACACACTTTGGCGAGCCGCGAGGGATCTTCGATGAGTTTATCCACTTCCTTCTCAATATCGATGGTGTACCTGGGAGCCGGGAAAATCATTTCCAGTAGTGGAGTGATCTGAAGGAAAGAAAATCACAGGAAACTACGGTTTTTATCCCCGCAACCATGGCCTTCCCTTCAACCAATTCTACGACAGTCCTGGAGCGCGTATCGGTCTAGGATGATCTAGGCCATCTTCGAAGTTCACACACCAACTGCCACAGGACTTGAAAACTCTCACTGATTTTCTTCAGAGAACATGGAATAGACCAACTGCCAAATGGTTTTTCCAACGTCCAAAAATGATGAACCCTCTCAGACATCTACCTTTCGGACCAGCTCCCAGAAATGGAGCTTTGCCATTGGTCCGAA